AGTGGCTAAAGAATCATGCAATTATATTACTTTCATGTCTAGGTTTGTGATAGTGCTGTGTAGCATGCTCTTAGCATGACAGTTTTCGGACTGTCTTACTTCACATACTGATTTATTTTATGAATAAATTATGTCCCTATCAGGCAGGCATAAGTAACCAAAGGTAACTTAATTGTGCCCTGAAATCTGAGGGAAGTCCCACTGGGTGTTTACTGAACCAGTTTTCTTGCTGTTATATCCAGAGCTGGACCTAAGATGAGAAGTTGGGATCCTGGAAAACCATTCCCTCTATGTTGGGTCTGTCATGCCAGAACTTGCTGCTGGCCTGTTCTAAAGACAGTAAAATGCTTTACAAGTACACACACACCCATCACCATCCATCGCTTGAGATACTGGCATCCTGAGCTCTGTAACATATATTTACACAGGTGTGTATACGTATACATGCTTGTTACCCCCATAGGTGCACCACAACATTCCTAAGCACTCGGCTGCTCCACGGAGATGCCATTACGATCTTCCTCTCAAGGATCTTACACTGAAGAGGAGAAGATAGAAGATTTGCCCAAGAATAACCTTACAGGTCTCCACTGGAGGCCGGGAACAGTAGCTCCACATTACTGAAACACAGCTCTTATCTGGCTGTGGTAAAGCTCCGAGAATGAAGCCTCACCAGTGGGCACTGCTAAAGGGTGCAACCTCTTTTGTACCCATTTAAAAAGCATTTTAAGATGACAATTTCTCACCTTTGGAATCTTAGAAAGCAAACTAATTCCAGTACTAAATAAAGCATGGGACTTAGCAGGTAAAAAAAAATAATAATCTTTTAAAAGTAAATACAGTGGATTTTTAAAGACTTCTCTAGCTTTTTCTCTGTATTTCTGTAAGCACTATCAAACATTAAGTACACATGCTGTGGGCTAAAACAAACACCTCACTGGAATTTGTAAAGATGACCTATATAAATCATGCAGAAGGCGCACTAAAGCCCTCCCAAAAATCTCTGGGTTTTTTTCTGTTATCAATAAGTGTGGTTGAATTCATATCTATTTGTACACATATATATATGTGCATACATATACAGAGAAAAGAGAGGACTGACTCCTGAAAAAGCAGATTATGTATGCTTGTGTGTGTGTATTTTTGCATTTATACACATATACATATATGTATGTACATACAGAGAGAGACAGATACACACACATATATATCTGTATACATACAAACACATATGAACTTGTAAATACCTACACACACATACATACATGACTTGCTCTTCAGGAAGCAATCCACTCACTTCTGTAGATAAACAGAACACAAATATACATTAGAAAAATAACATTAAAATATAACAGTTTCACTCCTTCAATTACACGAAGTTAAAGAAACTTCATTACTAGCTCTAATTATCACTATTAAGACAATTAATCTGGTCTTAAAGACTCCCTCATTGTAATGTAAGACACACTTGCCTCTTGGAAAAGAATAGGATGAGGATGTTCTATAAATCAGAAATCTGGTACAGTGCAGACAATGTCAACACTGAGTGTGACAGATACTGAACTAAGAGCTAAGGAAGTAAAAATGTATTAATCATTGATAAAATTTACATGAGAAAATAAAAAATTAACAAAAGATAAATCATGTTGACTCTATTGGGACTGTAAAATGTGGATAAAATAAATCATGTATAACGTTCCAATAAAAAAGAATACTGAATATATACAGTACAACAAACTCTGCATTGCTTCCCCACTGAGGTTTTTAAAATCTTCAATTGTTGCTAGGTAATCTTGCCTATTAAAAATCTGCAAAAAAAAAAGTCATGTGCAATAATACAATTAAAGAAAAAGTCATGTGAAGTAATTTGGTTATTATTAAGATAACAACAACATGAAGAGCAAAAATGAGTTGAAATTTGGGTAACATATTCAAAAGGTTTTCTAGGAGAGAAAATGCATCAGAATAGCTATTTTCAAATACACTCTATTCTAAGATCATATCTTTTACACACTAGTCTTGAAACAAAATAAATTCTAGGACAGGCTGTGTGCTTTCCAGGCAGAACTCCTTTCTTGTAATAAATTTACTTTATTCCATAATCTAGTATCTACCCACTGGGTTTTTCTGGAATGGCTTCCAGTAATTTTTAATGTGAATGGAAATTTTACATCAAGTACTTTTGTGAAAGATATTCTGAAATGTACTGGAAAGAGTTCTGTGTAAGCGACACAAAACATGGTAGAAGCAAGCATAGTTAATGCTTTAATCCAGTCCTCTATTAACTCGCAGTATAGCTTTGGTTTATCTCAGACATCTGCAATTCTGCTATTCTACCTGAAAAATTATTATTATCTTACAAATACTCCTCAATGGAATGAGCTTAAGCACCTGCTTAAGTACTTTGCTAATACCTGGCTTCAGCTAGCAAATTGAAGCACTAAGCAATCACAGTTGTGGTATAGACTGCATTTTGCCATGCACATTAGCACCCTGATTTCCTAATATTTTCATTTCCTACCCTCATTAATTGCCTAAGATTAAGATATCACAACCAGGCAGTCCTACTTAGGATTTAGAAAAAGATGATTTTAGGGAAAAGATGCTTTGTGGGACAGTCTTTAACATATTGCACTATTTCTCATGCCTTTTAAACATGCCAAAACAAGGTATTTTTCAATTTTTTTCAGCTCTACCAGTATAGCTTTGCAGGTGAAACTTTTCTTCCTTTCTCCTCCTTACAGAAGCAGCAGAAAGTTTTTTTGCTGTTGTGGAGGTGATGACTTTTCTTCTCTTAATATTGCTCCTCAGTTTATTGTGTCTCCTTTATAATTTGATTTTTGCATTTACCCACCTTTCTGTGACAATCAAAGGTTTCCAATGATACTCTGTCTCTACAGCCCATAATTGTATTAAGAAATTCTATTCTATTAAGAGTCTTTCCATGAAGTGTTGGTCAATTAGTTTCATCTTAAGGATAGCCAGAATGAATGGAATTTTTCCCCTTTTTGGAAGAAGGTGATATGGTTATGTTGGTTATGTTTATATGCATTTTTCTTCTGAGTTCATTGAGACCCAGAACTCATTCTAGGGACCTTAAACCCTGATTGCCCTGAACAACCTAAGTTATTTAATGGTGATAAGGCAGAGTTTTTAACTACCAAAGTTCAAGGTATGAGTTTGAATGCCAAGACCAAAAATAGCATAGTCACCCTCCTGTACCTGTAATTTCCATGGCTGAAATCAAGAGTAATGGAAGAAAAGGCAAAGTATGACTTTGGACAGTGTTGAAAGGCATGCAGCAGCTTTATTTTAAATCATTTTGTGTTATTTAAGCAAAATGAGATTGAAAATATCTCATAGATATAAGGTTCCTTACAGCTCCACACCTTCTCCAGAACCTGACCCACATAGAATCATAGAATAGTTAGGGTTGGAAAGGACTTCAAGATCATCAAGTTCCAACACCCCTGTCATGGGCAGGTTGCAAATGTGGAAACTGGAAGCTTGGCTGTTTCAGAGCCATGATACCAACTTGCACTGGAGCTTTGACAAAGTCGTGTGTTAACTGTCCTGCCATGCCTCATCTGTGAAAGGGGAGCAAGTGTGTTCACCGTGCCATTTAACAAGGCCACTGTAAAATTTACTTACTTAATGTCTGTGAAGAGACTAAAAAAAGAAACTGGAAGGGCCAGGAGAATAGTAAGCTTCATTCAGCATTACTTTATTTGAGTAGCCAGCTGGCTGCTTCCTAGGGTAGCAGTGAGAGGTTGACCCATTTGGCAAAAGTATGTTACTTACATTTGTCTTACACTGAAAATTAATGTCCCCATGGGTTGGATTTCAGGCTAAGCAGCTTGTATTACCTATCACAAAGCCAGCTATCACCAACACCACCAGCTCTTAACATCTCTAGGTAAAGAGCAAATACAAAAGCCATTGAAGGGGAGTGAAAGAGGACTGGGGGAAGGTAATATAAAATGAAATATTTCATGACACAGAGCTATCATCTGGGTAGATCCTCTGTGACCTCATACATCATAGAGTATGTTCAAACAGGTAGTCTAAATAAGACAATACATTAACAGACTAAACACTGTTTTGGAAGCTGCAAAGCTCTGAAATTGGTACTTTTACTTACTGAGTAGCCTGTGCAAGAAATTTCATCTTTTGGAGTCCACCTTTTCAATCTCTAAATGGGAACTATACCTACCTTATGAGACCTGAGGAGTACCATGGGGTAATGTCTGTACAAAACTTAAAAGAAAAAAAAAAAGTACCAGTTGTATAACTGCTATTCGCTTTATCAGCTTAAATCACCAGGCAGCTGTCTCTCGGCTAGTGAAGTTCATTTTTAATCTCTGACATGCCTGTCTGTCACTGCTTCATGAAGAAAAAAGGCTGTTTCACTTCATGCCCAATTTTACTATTACTTGGATGCTTTCTCCAATATAAAAATTAACATATGAGCAACAGAAAATGCCAGTGTAATGACAAAGGTTCATTTTTATCTTTTACTCTAATTGAAACAATTCTGTCTGTTACATGGATGACATCCACCTATATAGAGCTCTAACTGAAGATGCAGTCTTTCTATAATCTCTGAGGATATCACATGGCAAAAAATTTTAAACAACAAAACAGTTGTGAAAACATCTAGAGTACTTTACAGTTGTTCTTATATGAAGATCCTGAAGTACTTTATAAACATGAAAATCATTATTCTTACTGGTGGGGAAACTGAGGCATGGCTAAAATAAGTAGCATGGCTATGGCTGCACAGAGAGCTTGTGGCAGAATGGAGAGGCAGCAGCTCCTGGATCTGGTGATCCCTTAGTCCCCGACTTAAAATTACTGCTCCTTTCAGCTTGTGTGTCTCACATCAAATAGGAGGTAGCCTTTAATGCACAGAGACATTTCTTTCCTCCTCTGTTGACAAAGTGGATGTTTATGACAGCTCACCCACCCCAGCCTGCCAGTCCCCATCCCCGTGTACCCACCTGCTTGTAGGCATCCAGGAGGAAACTGTTCCAGACGCAGCGCAGCCCCTCCGAGGTCAGCATCCTCCGCCACTCACCGCGCCCAGATTTGGACCGGCTCAGGAATAGCACCATGTGCTTCAGGAGAATCACAGAGTCATAGAGAGCAAGGAAGAGGCAATTGGAGAAAAAGACCGGCAAGATCTGAAGCGTGATCAACAAATCCACACTTAGCAGACCCATCTTCCTTGCTGCTTCTTTTCAGCTGGATACCTTCAGCTCCCTTTTTTGCTCTGTACTCTCATTTAAAAAAGTAAAGTAAAAAACATTTCTAAAGCCTTATTACCACTCTCTCAGCTTCCCTTTTTAAAATGAGCAGAGATAGTTAAATATGAGCAGGCTGGTTAAAACCATAACTGCACGATAGTCATTCAACTCGGAGCTGCTTATTTTTCAGAAACTAAGATGTTAACAAAAATTCTTCCCTTAACCAGGAGACCTGATTTTGTTGAAGAGAGAGGCAGCTGTGTTTCCAGTTCCCTGCAGTCACAAAATTTAAGCTGAGACTGTTAATTGTTAACTTCCCTGCACTATCCCATTGTTTCTCAGTTGTCTAAGCACCAAACAGAGCTCTCAATTCTGTCAGTAAAGCTAGCTACCAGGTGCAACAATACATAAATAAAAAAAAAAAAAAAGAAAAGGTTTATGTACATAAACTTTCTGTTCCTCCCTCCCTTCCTCCCTCCTTCTCTCTCTCCCTCCCCCCCACCCCCCCGCCTCTCTGTATTCCTGCCTTCCTCCTCTCGTCCTCCTCTCTTTTGCTATCTGCCTATGGTGTAAAGTGCTTTCCCCTCTGGAGTTCTAACTTGCTTCCCTGAAGCCTTTTATACATTCCCTAGCTAATTGCTGCAATAGAGAAATGAAACCCTAATCTCAGTAAAGATCTTGACGTCAATGTAAAAGAGGGCTTTACTTTGGCCAGGACTGCAGTGAATAGAAAAATGAAATTCTCAAAACTTTTTTTTTTTTTTTCTTAAGAGAGAAGAAAAAAAGAGAGACAGCAAGGGTGGAACTTTGCTTTGCTTTGAAAAGGAAAAAGAAAAAAACCAATATGCTTCTGACTGCTCTTATGAAATGCTTTCAAATTTTGGAAAAATAATTTTCAGATTACATGGAAGGTAATACAGCAATGCAGGTTTCTGCTGTTGATGGTTTTTCTTCTCATGGCTGTTTTTTTATCTTTGCCATTTTTTTTTCCAGGAAGGTGTGTGAGCTGATGCATCCCAAGAAAGGGCACATTTCTGTACATTTTTCTGCACATTTTTCTGCCATCTCTGTGTTGTGCTCTGTGTAGTACAATATGTAGAGTGTTTAAATACCTTTTGTTGTGTTCTTGGTATTTAAGGAAACAAAATTAAGCGTTCAGAACTGATTTCATCTACTGATGTGTAAGAGAAGAAAATAAGAGAGATAAAAAGGACTTGAAGGATTTAGGGGTTTTAAGCTAAAGTTCCCTCTTTAGAATAATGCTACAGCCTTAAATGCTGTCAATCAACTGAGCTTGAAGGACTTCAATATTCTCCTGTGATAACTATTTATATCCACCAGTTTAAAAGGGTAACTAAAGTTTGGTTAAAAGCTTATTGGCGGGGGGGGGGGGGAGGGGGGGGAAGGGCAAAAAACCACACACACACAAAAAAAAACCCACAAAAAAATAAAACCCAAACACCCAAATAAACAAACAAAACCCCCAAAACAACCAAAAAAACAAACCCCAAAAGAAAAAAAAACTGAAAGAAGTTTTTATTTCTGGCAGAGCCATGTCTGCTTTAACAACCACAAGCATTCCCTGCAGCCCCATGCTGAAGATTTGCTTTGTTCATTTGTACTTCCTTTTGTTTCACCCTTCTAGACCAATACTTAATCTTTCCCCATGATTTTTTTTTTAGTGCAGTAGACAATTTTTTTAGCATGGTTCTAACTTCCTTAGATAAATATTTCACGTATTTCATGTTGCAGACATCCGTAATTTTGTTCTTGAGTGGATGTTTTCCATACATGCTTACGTAGGCTTTCCTCACCCGATATGTTTCATTTCCAGAGATGCCAGCATGATATCTAACCTCTGTCAATTCACATTCTTGATGAGTAGTACAAGCACCCTTCATTAATGTATCTTAGTCTTCATCAGTCATCACTATCCTTTCACTGCTAGCAACTGCAAAAAGTAAACACCATCAATCTTCCCTACTCTGGGGTCTTTCATTTTCAGATATTGTAATATCACTTGGGCTATCATTATACTAGCATGCATACCTCTAGGTAGGCCCCCCCATGTCTTGTCTTGCGCTCACCAAAGAAAAGTTTCTTGAGGTAGCATTAAATCAGGCATTTGCAAAAGATATCACCCTGACAGGCTATCTTCCAGAAAATGTTTAGTCAAAGAAATAACTTTCAGTGACCTTCTGTGTCATTAGGATGAATGAAAAAAGGTACTCAGTTTCATTTTCAAACTATAACAGTTTTTAAGTTGAAATATTGGTGTCGACAGTGCTTTGTTGTCATAGAAAGTATTGCAACCTCACAGATTTTACTTTCTTACTAAAACTTGTAAAAACATGCTATAAACAGGCATTTATATATTCCCACACATGGATGAGTCAGCATGCTGATGTCATGTGAGCACAATACTGGAACAAGGGTCCCCAGAGCTGCTAAATTAGCTTACTGTCTGATCTCAGGCAAGCATATGTAATCACTTGATTACAAGAGGTCTTAAAACTAGATTACTCTTCTGTAGATCCACCACTAAAACACACATGGTCCTGTCTAGGAAGGTCCCCTTTCTTTACTATGGGAAGGTTTGTTAAAAAGCAGGCCTGGAGATAGTTGATGACGATGCTAGATGAATCATCAGCCATTGTTTCTGAGAATAGTTTGCAAACAGCTCTGAGGACAGTCCAGCTCAAGCTCTTCCTGTTCCACCGGAGGTAAAGTCAGGCAAGAACCTACACTGGGAACACAATGTATTCTGGACTGCTGTGAAACAACTGCCCCTACCCACAGCATGCTTCATGGGTGAAGAGGTTGTTTGTAGGACAGCTGGAGACCAGACAGCTACAAAGCTTTGAAGTACGTTGGAAGCTGAACAGGAAGTCCATGGAACGCTAGTATGAGATGGTATTTCATATTTACTATGTCATCTTCCTTGCCTTATAAGGCAGACTGTGTGCATCGAGTTAAACAGAACTACCTCAGATTATGTGTTTGAGAGCTTCAGTCAAGAGGTGCTGATAACTATCTAATACAACCATAAAGACAAATATCTTTTTGACTAAATAAAAAAAGTTTTGCCGTTGCTGTCTTCAGAAGCAGTCTGTCCCTGCAGGACATGAGCACTGCTTCTCAGCTTGACACTTGAGAGTTCAGCAGCCCTCAAACAGAAGGAAAGTGTAATCCCTGCTTCTTCTTGTTGACACCACTTCTCTCCTTCTTCATTGAAACAATTCATCCCTGTGTTTATTTCTCTCAGATATCATAAATACAAGGGAAACAACTATTTGCATCTTTTGCGAAATATATCAACAGCATAATCTCAGTGTTGAAGCCAACAGTCTGTGATGTTTCCCTGCAAACCTTCATGAAGCAAGGAATAAAGAAGAGATCTTTCAGACTTTGAAGCATTAAGAGAGTCTTTAGTGAAGGAAAACTGGATGAATTTGATACATGAGGAAAAATTATGCAGGGTTGAAGATACGCATGAAGGAACTGAGATAGGGTTCAGCTAAAGCATATTCAATTACCTGCTCTACCATACCTTCCTATGTAATTTGGGCACAGCCCTACAATGTACCTCAGTTCTCCATCAGCAAAAGAAAATAAAAGTCCTCCCATGATCTAAGGAGCAGTCAGGTTCAGTAATGGGAAATTAAACATATCATCCATAATTTGTCAAGGTGGAATGAGCAAAGCCAACAACATTAAAGCATTCACTGTTACTAGAAGTTGTATGTGGCTAAAGTCAACAGTATCAGTATAGATGTTCATATTCTGTAATGTTTATAGAAATCAGTGCCATCAAAACTGTATCCATGCATAGCTCCATGTTTCTTCTCAGTTTCAACCACAGTAGCATGAAGATTAGGACAGGGGCAGCTAGTAAGTTTGTTTACTACAACTTTCTTGATAACTGTGCCTAGACACAGGAAATTCAAGGTGACTTTCCACTGCTCAGACCGCTTTCTCTGATCTTATTATATAGTAGATCCATACTAGCTCTCTGCACATCAGATAGTGCATTTTACAGCCTGCACTTGGTTGTGCAAGTCTTTACTTGTTTGTGGCTGAACTACCTGTGTAAGCTGCCGTGGCACCCAATCACACTGTGTGTAGGCACCTAAATGCAAGACCCCAGAGCCCAAAACGAGCAGACTGCTTAATATTTCAGTTACTCAGCCTAATTTTCTCAGACTAAGCAAGACCATTTTAAATGCAGTTACTCTTTTCAACACAGCTGGGAAATGGTACCTCACAGTGACAAGCAAGCAATGCTGCTGCTCTGGTCCTACCCCCAGAAGGTTCATGGGAGAGATCATCCCAAAAAGATTCAGCACAACCTATGTGCCTGCCTTGCTGCTTCTCACTGCTTTCACTGCCAAAAACAAAGACTGAAGCTTTTTGTTTGAGAGCTAGCTAGTGTGTCCACAAGCTAACCCCTGGGGAATTGCACAGCTGCAGAACGATATGGCTAGAGATGGGGAGGAGAAAGTTTAGCTTAGCTTTGCCTCCCTGGCCCTGGGCAAGATTGTTTATTGCAGCCAAAGAATTTGTACCTCTCATAAACCAGCGTTTTTTTCTATTTGCCAAAAGAGAAAAATCACCCCTTCTCTCAGCAACAAACCCCTCACTTAAAATACCACAGACCATTGACTAACTATCTCCTATTTTGATTAGGATCAGCAACATGTTTTCTTGAAGAAATAATATCTTCAATGAAACTTAAATTTTTCAGGCAAGTTTTGATGATACCTGGGTGGATTCTTTGATGATTCCTGGATGGAACCCACAATGTGGATTCACCAAGCCCTGCCTTCCTCCGTCACTCCTGGCCACGGCACTATGGTCTGAATGGAGCAACGTTCATCCTGCTGGCACCCAGACACATCCTGCATGCTTAAAGCAGCCTCTGTTCTCAACAGGAATCCACTTGCTAGCCTTCCAATGGTGAGCACGCTAAATGTATCCTTACTGTATGATTTATGTGCCTTTTGTATCAACCTTGGTTTTGTTTTATCTGCGTTACTCTACTACTGCCATTATGCTGCACAATCGAGAGTTGGCTATTCTGTGAAACTAGCGGCTTAGAGAGATGCTGATTTAATAGCCTGGAAGACCTGATCCTTCAAGTTTATCTGCAGTGATAAGTACTGAGAATGTAAACTGCCTGCAGGAAAGTTCTCCATGGCAATTTTGAGGGGAGTCCCTGGAGCAAGAAATTAAGCCAGACTTACTGCCCACTCAGTCCACAAGGCAGCACTACCATTAGAGGTCTTTCAAACCAATAGATGCCTGAGAGTGTATCCAAATGAACTGAGGAAATAAAAAGCCATATAAATTGGGACACTTTTGGATAGGAAAAAAAGGAGAATATCCTAACAGATGGCAAGTTATACCTAGATTCTGGATATAATGGAGGCTGTTTTATAGTCAAGACACAGTGATTCAGA